TCTCGATTTTCAGTTCTGTCGGGTTTTGGCCTGACATTCGTCGTGCTCGCACGCTTGGACTCGCTATTAGCACAGAAGACTGTTTGGGCAGGCCGAAAGGAACATGAGGCGAGGAGACTTGGTCGAACTCTAATGGAGTAAGCGCGCTCTGACGTTTCTCTGATTGATCCTCCAACACAACGTCATCTTCCTCCAACGGAGCCAAAGTCACGCCGGGTGTTGTTGTAGCTGAATTTGGGACAACCGAGCTCTCCCATGTCCTAGCGGACAACACGCTTGAATCTGACTGGCGCGGAAGAGCAGATTTTGACTGGAGATCAAATGCGAAATCATCCATAACGTAGCCACTGGTCATTTCATCCAACAATCGCTCCTCTTCTTCGGCTTCGTCGTCAGGATAATCTTGGACCAAATCACTTGAATGGTCGAGCCTCGTCTGCTCGAGTATGTGGCGAAGATCGTGGCCCTGAGTTATTGCTACTTCCGCTTCTCTCTCCGCTTCCCTTACTCTCTGTTTTGCCAACTCAACGTTCCTGCGAGCGTTCGCTACGATCTCATCGTCTGTATCGTAACCGTCCACCTCTACCGCTGGTTCCAAGCCTTCATCATATGCAGCCTCAACGGCAGCATCTAATGCAGCATCAAATTCGGCTTCAGTACCATGGCTGAAGCGGTGGCTTCTTCTCCGCCGTAGATACACAGATGATACTCGGGAGTGCTGGGAAGAAGGTGAAGAAGCACCAGACTCGTCGATAGTATCGAGCCAAGAGGTTGACTCGTAAATGTCCCTGGCGTGAGTGCTCAGTAAGGTCAACTCAGACTGCGGATCCCTGGAAGACGAGGGTTCCTCATCCTGACCGGGTCCTCTGGTCAAATATGTATCCTGTGGAGGGCCCAGTGCGCCCTGAAAAAATTTCTCCGACGCTTGCCTGGACGAATCAGACTGAGCCGGTCTGCCGGAAACGGGTGACGGTATGGCATATCTTGACTCATCCTCCAAAGGCGACGGCAATAGCGACTGACGCCTCGGAGGGATCTGATTGGGCACCATGGTTCTAGATCCTTCAGAGATGGGATGATCATGAACGAAAGATCTGGACTGCAAATAGTCGTATCTCTCCTCAGTATGCAAATCATCCTCGTCCTCTATGGGTTGTGACATTGCTCCGTATGACTCCTGACTAAGGGGACGTTCAGGAAGCGCTTTGCTGTTAACTTCGCGGAAGGAGAAGTCCATACGACGCAGCTCGGTCACGCGAAGCATATAGGTGTCGCGCTACAAAATCCGTGTTAATAAGTTCTGCAGGGGTAGAGAGGGCAAACTCACAATCTCCTGAAGCTTCATTCTCTCGTCTTCTCCTCCGCTGCTTCGCAACATGACTAGTTGTAGAAGTTGACAAGCATCGTTGTAAGCTTCCATTGCACCTTCGAAATTAGCTGCGTTGTCTAGAAGGACTGCAGTATTAGCCTTCTGCAACGCTTTAGAAAGCATTGCTTTCTGGGAATAGCCCCGCCTCCGTCGTACAGAGTCATATCCCTTGGCCGATGCTGGGCGTGAGCTGTCGCCCACCTCTTGAGAGCTCGCTGGATCATGAGACAAATTATGCTCGCCAGAGCCCATGCTGAGTGAGCCTGACTTTGCCCACGGGTTCTGGAAGAGAGCTGGGGAGGCTAACACAGGCTCCGATGTCTCAAGATTTGAGTTGAAGGGGACAATGCCGCTATCATTCGCCGCCAACTTGGTTATCGTACCAGCATCTGATGATCCAAGTCTGGACGCTTCGGTATGGCTTGCTGACGTCGAAGGCTGGGAGACACGAAATGCCTGTGATTGGCCACGGTGGTGATCGGGAACGTAACACTCAGGGCTAGAGGTGCTCGCCGGGCTTGCATTTGCCTTCGGAGATTCTATATTAATAGGCGATGAATTTCCCCGAGAACGGTTGATAGGCGAATCCTTGCTAGAAACGGTCGACTGAGACCAGCGATTCAGGCTACCGAGGCCTTCTAGGATCCCATTATGATCAGTTTGGATTTCGGAAATCGCGTTGGTCGTACGCTCTGGTATCAATTCGGGCATTGTTGTAATGATTGTTTCGGAGCTTGTGGTGTTTTTAGGGACAGTGAGTTCGCCTTGGTTCAACGATGTCTTCCACGGGAACGTCTATGTAGCCCTTTCTCATTTCCCAACGGCCGCCAAGCGAGAAGCGAGAGATGGCTATTTTGTGAGGCAACAACAAGTAGGCATATATAGATTGTAGAGGCCTGAACTTAATATATATATTCCTCAGTCTTGAGCGCCTTGCTCAGCACATCGTCGTTTAGCGCAGGATCCAATGCGTTCACGAACAGCGCATTGCTTCCAGGTGACAGTCAGCGAGCAGCGCAAATCAGAAGCAACGTCCACTTTAGGATAGCCGGTCGCAATTGCAGTTCAAGTGGAGCGGCAGAGACCGGAGCAAGGAGATAGTTGGCCAGGCGATCAAAGTTGTCACTTTGGCAGGAATCGATGGGCGGCTCAGAAACATCAGAGGCGTGGTGATGGTGTGTTGGAAACTCGGCACGGAGATATATCAGGGACGATAAGCTGGAGAAAGAATTGGAATTGTGTCAATTGCTGTTTGTTGAGGAGTGGGCAGAAGCCAGACGACAGGATTGCTCAGAAGCTGTCTATAGGTAGCGTCAGACGTACCAGCTTGTTTAGCAGATTATCGAGCATAGAGAACCGATGCCGTATAGTTTTGCTCAGAAATGATCAATTCGAGATTGAAAGAGAAATCTAGCTTCAACAAGAACGTCCAACTACAGGATGGTGCGGAGAAATATACGAAATCTCAAGACATGATTATTGATAGTCGCATCATTATCGGCGATGGTAGGCGGTTCAGGGGAGAGCAGCGGAGGTCTGGTTTGGTGGTTGGACAATTTGCGGAGCGGAAAAAGGGGCAGTGGGGTATCGATATCTGGGCCATCAGAAGGGAAAACTGTGTAAGTACACTCAGTGATGTTATTTAAGCTACTGAAATCAATCAGAATCTATTACACTAGTTACTGTTCTGTCTCATGCAAGCTTTCCTTAGTTTAATATTTACTCTGTAGCTTGTTTTCTTTTTACCTACGTTGTGTTCTAATGATGGTCCGTCATTGCCAAGAAAATAGGTATACTTCTGTAAACTACTCGACATGGATACCTACGCACCTTAGGCGTGTGACGCTACTGCATATATGACTCGTGATTGATTCTCGAGGTAGGTGTAGATGTTAGATGTTATAGATGTATATTTATCTATTGTTTATTATTGTCATTCTGCCACTGGTCTAGATGGTAGAAATGTTCAGTGCATTCTATAAATGTCCTTAATCTGCAGGTATTACGGAGTAGTACTATGACTATCAGGTTTGTACATTAGAGGATCTGAGAGATTGGCATCTGACTGTGTCCTTAGATACAATACCTTGCGCATGGACAGGGATAGCCCATCCTTTTCTATAAAAAAAGCATAGCGTCGCAATGGCGAAGAGTTTCAGGCTTAGCAGATATTCAGGTATCATCGTTCTTCTGCCTCAGCTGAAAAACCCCGGCATTGGCAGGTGTACTGGGCACGAACAAGAGTTGAAAGTTGACGGTGAAGTTGATATGGACTATCTAAGCTGGGCTATCAAGCGACTGACTGTTCTCTTCGCCCGAGCGTACACTACCACGGTACAAATGCATCGCCGATAATTTTCAATCTCGGCAATCGGGTGATCCCCTATGTAATGGACGGCAGGTTGCAGGCTCGACGCTATCCGATGGAGAGACATTCGTGTCCACGGACATATTGGCAAGACCATTCCAACACTGATTGGAAGTTGAACGGATAGAAGACAAAGGTCACCAGAAGCCTAGCCTCTGCCGTCTATTTCCCTGCGTTGGAAGGTGATCAAAAGATGGCATTAGCAAGAACGATGAAATGGTTGTCGACACATGTGAAAAATAGCCAGCAATTCTGGCGAGCGAAGGACAGGCCCTCATAACTGCAAAATAAAATTATTGCGTTATTGATGGAACTTCTTCCGGCCCTTGTCATTAGTGAGAAAGGCATTCAAACCAGGACGTCAAGGCCGAATATATGGATTTTCCTATGTCGAACCCATCTCCCATCGAACCCACCTGATGTGTAGTAATTGATCGAGCCCGCAGGAGAAGGCTCAGTCATAAATACATCCTATTTGTATGTTCTCCGTTAGGAATGTCAAATTGTATGCTAATACAGGCTCATCACTGAGAAGAAATCCAGTCTCATGCGAGCCAGAATCGTAGAGGGCCTGGCATCGGTGTTGCAGTCAACAGATCCCTTTCTCTGCACATAATATCTTCCAACTTGTCTAGAACAATTGACCTGGAAAATTGTTTCCTACACCTTTCGAGCGAGCAATTTGTGACGGAGACAATATCCGTACTGAAGCCTAATCCGCAACAACTTCTTGAGTGTATTTACTCCAATTGCCTAGGCAACTGGAGAGAGTCAACAAATCTGAACGAATTTCGAGATGTTTCGGCACTCCGGCTCCCCCGCAAGAAGATGCTTATAAGTTGGCTTCTGGGCCAGTAGGCTGGCTACCTTCAAGAACGGCAACAAAAGGCTAAACCCACCACGACGCTGTAGGCGGCGACGCGGAGCTCAAGGGCATTCTAGCATCTGAACCCCTGAAGACAGTACCTAGAATGGTGGATGGGCAATTGAGGCCTCGGCAATGCCTGCTTGGGAGAAGACTGAAAATGCCTTTCAAATCACTGAAGGATAGAAGATCACGAGCCTGTGTATGCCTACACCACGAGAGCAACAGGGAAGGTTTTCGCAGCGCGCCCTCCCCAATCTTTCCTTCTCCTCTTTTTCTTTCAGTTCCACTCTGCTGCTTTTTCGGCGCACATCATCCTTTGCACAAATATAAACAGAGAAATGTGTATTACTCATCCATTGTGGTTCCTGAGCCAAATAAAAGAGCTTGTCCTGGTTCTAGTCTTCCTCACTGGTTGCTTCAATATTCTTCTTCATTGAATATTTGCTTTCAGGTTCCGTGCTGTGGTCTGTTTCGTTGCTATCGTCCCCGTTCGGCTTTTTATTGGCCTGAGGATAGTCTGGCCGCGGCACAAACTCCCCGCTCTCTTTAAGCGCCATTTCAATATCTGGTAATAATGTTACAAGAGCAGAGAATTGATCGATAGGTAAAGAAATGCCCTACAGTGCAAGTCAGTTGAGGTGGGACAGCGCCTCCTGGTAATCTCATTTTACCTTCTTCCCCGGGAGCTCTTGCCCGTCCTTCTCGTAATACTCTCTAATGTTGACGAGCGTCTTCCCTCGAAAGGAGGAGATAGTGATACGACGCATTTTAGAAAGCTCCCAGAATTTGTCTCCATTTGCGTCAACTTTCCAGCTCACTGCTTTATGCATGTTGTGAGTCGACGATGCAGAAACACTCATTGATACTTCGGTTTTTGCTTTCTTCTGCTGGAAGTTTTCATTGTTGTTGCAATCATCACTGACACTTGACACGCGCTTCCTGGACCCAGAAGGCATCCCCAAGATCTGCTCGTGGGATAACTGAGAAAGAATCGTGATGGATACTGCAGTAGTATGAATAGAGACCACTACAATTCAATTGTTTTCACAGTGGTTCGAAAAGCGTAACTAGTGATTCTCTAGGTAAGAAGATTCAATCAATGGACGCGTGAACGTTAGACGCGTCATATCATTTGAGACAATGGAGTAGCCAAGAACTAAGTGGGTCGTGGACTCCCAGCTGGGCTTAACCCCTTGAACTCTAAAACTATGAGGTCCACTTACAGTATACATAACGTTAAAACTTGTAGTTCTACTAAGTCTACGTCTTGTAGATAAACTCAGATGGTAGACCTATTACCCTACTATGAAAACACGTAGAGGTATCTTTCCAACTTCCGCAAGCAAATATTAACGGTATCTAGTAATGTATATGTTCAGAGCTTTAAGGGACAAGTATCAAGGGATTTAGGCCATTTTTCTACTTCAGGTATGCAGTGTGTAGCCATATACCATCTGAAGAAAGACAAGTGAACCCCTAGCTGATATTCAAAATATTGATAACGGATCATATGCTCCTCCTTACAACATTTTGGTTGGGTAAAGCTGTGTAGCTTTTGATATAAGAGTGCCAACAGGTGACGCAAAGTTTGAACGCTCGAATCTAAATATGCGAAACGCCATATAAGTTCATATTCACCTATTCAAACTTCATCTTAATGAAAATTCCTAGGCAGCGTCTTCCAGGAATCATCTGGCTGAAAGGGGCGGAAATAATCATCAGGCTCATTGAAAATCACATCATTCTCCGACGGATCAGAAAGTCAGAGCTCTCAAAGCTTGCAAAAGAATAGAGTATACAAAACCGCGCGCAATCATTTCGACCTGTAGGCAATCAAAGACCCTCTCGAGTGATTCACGACTAGCAGCGGACCCCATGACACTTGTAAGCGCCTGCGGCAGCCCCTTAAGGACGAGTGTTCTTCTTGCAGTTTCCCTCATACGCTCCTTTTCCGCGCTACTGGGCGACTGAGGCCAAGACTCTAGTTCCTCCTTCGTCGGCAGGACATTCTCGCGGAGCTTGGTCAGATAGAATGCGATTGATGCATCCGAGGTATTAGCATCAATCATGGACTCCTGCAAGAGAGAGCGAATCGTCTCTAGACTTGGGCTTCCAGGGCGTAAAATATATGACTTCGCCGCGTTGAGAAGTGTTCTCCTGATGTTCCATGCAGATGACAATGAGTATAGTTCATTGATAACCGCAAACAAGAGCTCCACAGCTATTTGTGTCTCCTCCTGGGAGATAGGGCTTTCTTGACGCCGCATAGTAGTTTGACCAACTGACGCTTTCTGCTCTTCTTTCGGTCTTATGCGGGAACCAATGTTATCTCCACCGTCAGAGTCAGACAACGGCTCCTGAAGATGATGACTCTCGAGTCTTGAATCGCAAGGTGCAAGATCTCGGGACCTTGGTATAGTAGAGTTAACAACTTCTCCGCTTCCAGGGCTGAGAGGGACTTCTTGGGAACTTGAAGTCTCGGGGGTAGGGACAACAGCTAAAGGATAACACTCTGTCTTATGGTTCTCGCTAACAGGTCTCTTCGGCGCGATTACACTGTCAGAGACTATACTCTCGTAGTTCATTTGTGAGATGGACCGAGTTGATAGAGAACGGCCATGGTTCCCTTGATCTCCTTTGGAGCTTAATGATGTTTTTTTGCCGTTTGTTCCTCCAAACACCCCGGTGACACCACCAATGACGGCTTTACCACCTTCAGTAACGCCCTTTGGTGCGTTAGTCAGAACGCCTAGCATACCTTTGCCCATGTTTTCGAGCGCCACCGAGGTGGGAAACGGAAACCCAGATTTAGCCGAGGCATCGCTGGCACCAGCATCGAGGCGCTCATCCTTCTCCAAAAACCGTTTCATTCTCTCGCAATCTGCAAGCGCTTCATACCGAAGGGCATCCTTAAGGTATCTCTCCAGATTACGCACTAGGGCCCCCTTTGTCTGCCCCTTCCAGGGTGGCAAGACAGGGTGGCCTTCCGTGAAATCCTGTATTTTATTAAGCCTCGCTATCGTTCCAAGGGTGCCGTGTAATGATTCAAAATCTGCATAATTTCTGAAAATCATCCACCCAGTGCGACGTGTGGCTGCTGGCTCGATTTGGATCAGATAACTCGATGTAGGCTTTGACCGAATTGATGCTGTCTCACTAGCTTCAGAAAGCTCMTCTATTGAAACGGAAGCGTAATGAAGAGCCGTGACAGGTGAAATCTTAGATGGAGAATCCGATAAATGCGAGACTGGCGGTGACATGCATGGGTCTGGAGGTTGGACTGGAGGATAATGTTCCGTGGACACTATCTCTGTCAGATCACAATCATTTCGAATCTGTGCGGCGTCTTTGGCCTTCAGTGTATGAATTGTTGCCTCTTTGTCTTGAGACCCGACAAGCGACTGGCGCGGCAACATAGTTGACTGGGAATTTGAGGACTGCACAGCTTCAGGGGAAGAGAGACAAGCGGTCCGAATCTGCAAGTCCTGTGTCTGAACCGTAGCGCTTTCTGGTTGACAGATCGGAACCTCAACAACCTTGGTCGTAGGAAGAATTCCATAACTATCAGATTGTAGGGCAGGTTTCTCCTCAGTATCTGACTTGCTAAACGGAACTGTTGTAGACTTGTTCTCGTCGTGAGCGCCTTCGACCGCGACCACTTGTTCCTTGGCCCCCTCGACCCCMGCATCAATGGCGTTCAATAACTCCGATTCACCTTCTTTTAGAAGATGAATGATCCAGCCATTGATCGTCTCCGATCGAGAAAGATTGGAGATTGCCGACTCTAATACTACACCGGCTAGAATCTCGCGAAGGAATTCCCTCAGCACCGAGCATGCGTACGCTCCTGGTTCCAAAAAGCTGGATAGGATGTCATCTGCTACCATTCTTAATTTCAATCGCTGCTGCTGCTCCGACAAAATGCTCGCTAAACTGCTTTCGGGATGTAAACTCAGGTACCGTTTGACTGCATCTTCCGGCGTTAAATGGCCCTCGGCTTGGTGGAACGCCGCTGACAATTCATTCAAGAGCACGATAACCATAGAGGAAGAATTTGTGAGAAACTCCAAGAATGCATCTGCCGGCCGTTTGCGAGATAGGTGAGAGGACAGAGAAATAATAAAGTCTCTCAACAATTTCCGGCACGAGAGAGGGAACATTTGCTCTGCTGGCAATATGGGTTCATACCAGTGACTTGTATTCTGTCAGAACGTGCGGAGACATATGCGATGCAAACATACGTTACATAGTCCTTTATCACAGCATTGGTCAATGACCGCAATGCTGCCGCTGTCTTGGGCGGAAAACCAGAGAAATCTAGCTCAGGCTCAGACATCTGCTCAGCAGCTTTCGCAATATTTCCGCCGTTGTTTGATTTTGGTTCTGAAAGTTTGCGACTCGATAACTCCAGCAATCGGTTCGCTATATTCAGAGAAAGCTCCTTTCTCCTATAGACAGTGTAAGTCCCCGTTGAATCCCCCCTAAGGCCAGTATCGGCTGCCTCCCATGATGCATGCAGAGCAACACCGGCCACCAGCCCAATCAAAAGCAGTCCAATCCTGCCTAGGAGAATATATGTTACTATCGCCAAGGACACAACAAACCAGGTCAAAGTTGAATTATCGGACGATGAGAGGAAATGTAGCATGTAATCAACTGGCCCCTTTGATGGGGTAATGGTAGGTATCAAATCACTTGGTCGATTAAAATCTTCATGACGCGAGGTCACAAGACAGTCAGTGGCATCCTGGGCATCAGAGCAAGTCTCGCTCAAGGGAGACGGAAGAGGCCTGTCAATGGAATCATCCATAATGACTTTCCTCGGGTGAAAGTGGCATTAGCCACGTTTGAGACAGGTCTAATTAACGACTTGGGGGTTGTAGAAACGATCAGTTGAAACAAGCTAGGGTCTTTATGATTGGTATAGTCTAAAAGCTGGGCCAATTCCTTGGAGCCAGAGACTTCATTTCCACCCATCGCGTTTATATACAGAGCTTCTCCAGTACGAGCTCTAAATACTCGGTACATAACGATACCTTCCCATTTTTGGTCCTAGATAGTGATTATATAATATGTCACGCATTCCTAAAGCCTTTATGATAAGGTAATATCATGTGAGACCATCGGAACAAATGAGATGATGCTGACTAATTATCATCATGTGTCTTCCCATAGGTATCAGATTTGTACTTGTTCATTGGTTCATTGTTCAGGAGTTTCGATTTGGATGCGACCAGGAGGTGGAATTAATTAGAATCCTATAGCTTAACGGACTAGACAAGTTTATGTGCCCATTCTTTATTGCCTCACCTCAGGATGAGACGGTGAGGTATCTAAAGCTATCGAGAATGGGTCTATAATCTCCGCTATCCGAGTGAATCCAGCATTCAAAGAACATGTAATCATGCCAGATGCAAAGAAGATGGCGGGCTTGTATAAGTACTCGACGCATAACCATTTAGGTATTGTGTTATGTTTCCCCAATGCGCAAGACATTGTCGGCGAGTTATGGATAATCAAGAGAGTTGTCCTCAAGTGGTTTTGAGATATTTCGTATGTGAACCTTTGGCCACGATAGTCATCTTCCCCGCCTCAGATTTTTTGGAGATAACTACCGTTGTGAAAGCAAGCGTTTTCCCGACTTTATCCGCACAGCCTTCAATCTCAACCCAATCCCCTGTCGTGGCCGTTGACAGGTAATTCACATGGATGTCGGTGCTCACACCTGTAGAGTCATGGCCACAGGACGCGATGGCAAGCCCACCAGCCCAATCAGTAACACATGCAGAAAAGGCACCGTGCAGGGTGTTTTTAGAATTCAGATGATGAGGAGCGACACGAAGGCGAGCATTAACTTTCCCCTTTTGCGCGCTATAGATTTCAACATCGTTGAGAAGGAACGCGTATATTGGGCTGTTAACACGGATACGGTCCCAGACATTCAAGACCTGATGGAGCTCAGTGTTCATAATGGATGTGGTCTGTTAGTTGTCCTGACTGCGGCATTGATAGGGGGGAAAATCATCCAAAAAGCGTCGGGCGATAGATAACTGTGAGAATATTTTTTCATGGCTGTCGACGAGTGGGTTGATTCGAAGTTATGTTTATGCGTTAGGGTTATCACCTAGCGCATGCCTAACAAGGTAAAGTCTGCAATGTACTTAGGGGAAGATTACTCTTAGCTAAAAGCCTAAGTAATCGTCTGGAACGAGTTGCACGAAACCAACCCGATTTATTTCTGGTTCGATCTTACTCAAACTCGTATCCTTTCAGTAGATCCATGACTGATTAGAAGTTCGTTTCGTCTGTTCATCAGCAGAAACAATACTTCCACAAGCCTGTGACGGGACTCGGAACAACGCTTTGATGTAAGACACTTGTCGCTCTTGATTCTTCATCAAAATAGAACACCCGACACAATGTGATTTTGATAGTAAACCTTGAATCTCTCAAATGCACGGCATATTCTACATGCTGCGCAGCATCATCCTGGAGCCATCATAGGGGCAGTACCATTGCGATTATTGTGCACGACATCACCAATCCTTTTTAGGATCCATCTATTCCACGTATACCGCTGAAAATCTTGACTGCAATCGTTCCGGACCAACTTAGACAAGCAAACCCTCCCGCACAAAGGCTTCGGTGTCGCCAGTGTAAGGCAACCTATTCTCACCTCCAAGTGGTACAAAATATAAGCAAGGCTGGTTTACCGCTTAGTCCAGGCTTTGCTTGAGATCGGAAGCAGATCGAGCGTAAATATAGCGAGACGAGATCTCCACCAAATTCGAACAGGGGAAATATCAGTAGTTGACCCTCCGATGTCGACCGTTTCTTGACAGCATTTGGGAAAGCATAAAGTGGTTGACATCCTCGTCAGCCCAGTATGTCAAATGGCTGGCAATGCTTGCAATCAGAGATATATCGAATGCACCCCTATTGAAATGTATTAGCATCCTGGGGGTGTGCTCGAGGATTTCAGACAAGAACGTTACGATTCTCGATAGCTGGAGCAAAAAAGAAATAACTTACTCCTGGATGCTATAGTCAACTCGTCCATTAGTATTGAGTGCCCTCATTTTAGCATCTTCCATCTTCAACCTCCTTAGGTCCTCGCTCTCTTGACCGACGGCGGACTCACTGGCCGCGGAATGTAAAATGCCATTGTGCTGACTAGTCTTGGTTCTGTTGGTCGCTTCGTAGAGTGTTTCTAAGTTCGAGTCAATCAGTGTACGGTATCTATCGCCAGACCCTTCTTGACCGTCAACGCCCGAGCCAGCGCGAGAGGAACCACCCTCTCCAAGAGAAGAGTTAGGCAGTGATCCTCGAGACATTTGAGTCTCGGTAGCAATCACTGTGGGTTGTAGTGAAGTTTCCTCCGAACCAAGACCGAGGCTGCGGTTAAGCAGACTGCTTGCGACCCCAGTTGCGAAATTGGTCCATAAGGTTCCCACACTCTGGCCAACACGACTGCCAATCATGGAAAGGCTTTGCCCAGAAGCTGCCCATAGGCTCTTCTTTACCGATGGCAAGGGCTGCGGTTTGAGCGACGACATTGCTGGCGAGATTAGCGGCTCAATTCGATAACTAACGGGATCAGAAGGGTGAAATATGTTGTACAGTTGCCGACACTTCGGTGATGACACGATAGTCGGCCCTTCACCTGACGCGGTGCTCGCCTGAGCTGAAGCGCCATGGCCCTCGAAGGAAGAAGACGTTGGGCTCCGATGATCACACTCCTTCTTAGAGCTCTTGGTGTTTGCTCCGTCGACCATAGATCGCCCAGCAATGGTGTTTCCTTTGATCATTTGGAAGAGGGCAATTGGAGACCCCAAGCAGAATAATTCTTCGCAATCAAAGTCGAGCAAAATGTCCCGAGAACCGTTTCGGGCCATCCTCCTCTCTCCGGACTTGGGACTCTGTTCGAGACAGGGAGTCGACGGTTGGTGGCATAGGATATCGAACAGGATCGCGCTACCAAGTGAATGACCACAGAGGCTCACAGAGCCCTTGAATGTCGGATTTCGCTGCTTGAAGAGTTTCAGAATCCGATTGCACTCCTGCTTAACTATGGTAGAAATGTGTTCACAATAAGCACTTTGATAGAGGAGTACGTCCATTGCCAAATCAGAAATGAGATTCCGGACTGCAGGGACGCTGTCAAGGGTAATATCATTCAATCCGGGATAGGAACTGTCGTCATGACAGTCCGCATCGGCCAAATCAAGTTCTTTACGATTCTGCCTCACTCCTCTGTAGGGAAAATCAAGGAGGTGTCTCCAACAGCTAAATCCAATTAGTTGAAAAGCTCTTTCGAGTGAATTCAGTGCAAGATGGTAGTCATAATCCGCAGTTGAGCACTTGACAGCTGCCGAGGGTGGGTTGACTCACACTGGAAGTACCTGAACGCGGCAGTTTTTTTGACTGTCTGGGGAAGCAGAGTTCAAGGCTTGCAGATCAGGAGAAGCCTTATAGACGCTCTTCATGGTCTTTCGAAGAACATTCACATCGTGAATGAAGTTGATGCTTTCCAGCCGCAACCCAAGTCGTTGACCTATCCCATGTGTGACAAGGACCAAATGGTCAATCTGCCGCTCTCTGTCCTCTTCATCTGCTTCCCTGGAGTCTTCCATTTCTTTCTCTTCCTGCTTCCGCGCTTGCTCCTCCAGCTCAGCTGTATTTTGAGGTTCACCAGCAAGGGACGACATCTGCCGTTCCAGAGTTGACCTCGGATCATCCCGATTGATCACTGTCTTTCTCACATCCTCATTAGGGAGCACGTCTGAAGAATTTTCCGAATCGGACTTGACCTCGTGGTCTGTCGAGGCTGCAGTAGGGGTATCGGAGGAAGGTTTTGTACCAACGCTATGATCGCGACTCTTCACAGCCGACGTTTCCTTCTGTCTTTTAGTTTCGACAAAACCACGCACCACTCTCGTACCCGGTATACCGCCCAATTTCTGGTACACGGTACTGCTCATTCGTGACATGAAATCGTCATTCGCCAACAAAGCTGTAGAAGAATCCTGATATGTCACTATGC